AAGCAGGAAGAGCAGATGCCAGCAAGGAATCAGCTGTATCAGGAGGAGGAGGAGGAAGAGGAAGAGAATACGGTAAAGGCAGCAGAGGGGGAAGAGCCTCCGGCTCCGGACAGTCCAGGACAGGATTTATTAGCTACCAAAGTCATCTCACAGACCCCAACTCCCTCCCCCAGTCCACATTCCTCCAAAACCTTTCTATTTCTACAAAGAGACATAAACGCTTGCGCATACATCAATTCCTCCCATTTACCATTCTGCCGGCAGAACAAAATCAATTGTAAGATAGTATTATAATTAACACTTCCCTCCGGAGGCCAATGTTCTTGATCATCTAGCTGATAGCGTGGCCACGCAGTTTCACAGAAGAATTTAGCTTTCTTCTTAGTCATAGGATCTCCACCAAACTCTGCCCAATGTCCCAATGCACAAGAGAGGGGGGTACATTTCCTAACCTTACTGTTAATAGTACCCATCTCAGGGCTGCCTTCCCGGTCCTGACCGTCCGACTTACCTGGGATCCAGGGATCTGTTCTTAGTCCTCGTCCTCACAGGGGAAAAATCACTGGTCTTGGACTCGGGCCAGACAGAATACTTACAGAGATAATCCCAGGCAGGCGTGCTGACGGTAGGCCTTATGCCCTTTCTACCCTCTCACCCAGGTGCCTGTTACTGATACTTTCACTCTATGGCTTTGCACCGTTAGGCTACTGCCGCCTCAGCAATCCAGCTCCCCCTGAAACAAAAGTCTCACCGGGAAAAGAGATCCCGGGGCGCGCCTGACATTTGATAAGGAAGAGCTGTGTCTGGTCGTCAGCTAGTCCGGGCAAAGTTATCTAAGGCAGTCCCATCTGGGTCGCCAAAAACTGTTGAGCCCCAGCTCAAGTCTGGGATCGTGCCCGGTATGCAAAAGCCAATAAAGATACCAGGGGTGAAAGTATAAAGATTTATTGCTAGCAATACAAGGTGCAAACGGAATAATTTCACGTAACAAGCACACAGATTCTTAATTATGAGCATCTTTTATACAAGAGTATTGGACCTTCATAAGCATTCTTGTTTGCTAATTGGTTATAAGGGAGTGACGCAAGGAGTTCTTTACTGAGCATGTCTCTATACCTGTGTTTTAGCCATGTATCTCATTTCCATACATGTATGTTTCATTAGCATACTTTCTCCCCACCCAGGGGTGTGATTCTTAATATTTAAATCAGTTCTTTGCCCTAGTCCTCTGATTGTTTTTGTTTTCAAGCCTCCTTTATCTAAGACTGTCTTCTCCTTATCATTGCAGTTGGGCATTAGTTACATAACAGAGACTTTTGCTTGGGCTATGTGTAGTGGTTTCTAGGTCAAACCTGACACTGTCAGGTTCTTGTCCCTTCCCCAAAAGAAAACCCCAATTTTTTTTTTCTGGATTGGTTAAGAATGCCAAGGAGAGGTCTGCACAAGGGGGATATTGTGCACTAGCAAGCAGGTGTTCTAGCTGCCTGGCTTCCCAGCACTGGACCCAGGACTTGGGGGGTCCCCCCAGGTAGGGAACCCCTGAGATTCCCAGAATCCAGGGCAGCCCCTTGCTGAGAGATGGCCCCCTCCGCCAATCAGCAGCAAGAAGTATGTCTCCATGACCAATTGGCAGCAAGGGCTGGACCCATAGGACCCTTTGGCCAATCAGTGACAAAGGGTGGAGCCACCACAAAAAAGGCCTTGGCCCCTCTCCCTGGGAGCCCTGCTTTTCCTAGCTGTGCACTGACCTAGCTCTAGGCACAGCCAATAGAATGGCAAGGACAAGTGAATGACATGTATTTCCACCAATTAAATGAAAACAAGACCGGGGGGGAACGTTTAAACCAAGGAGGGATGTCCTCCCTGCTCTTAAGTTTTTTCCATTTTTTTTTTATTGTTTTTTTTTGTAATAAGACAAAAGTATTTGGCTGTAGCAGCGCAGCAGGGTTTGGCACTGCGGCTTCCTATTGGAAACCTCCGGGTTTCTCCCACAAATCCCGTTCATGCCACTTCTCCCTACTCCGCTGGGACCCGCTGTCCTCCTCCCCACCCCGGGCTGAGCACGGAAGAGCAAGCAGTCAATGCGGCCGGCCCACCTCCTGCCCGGATTCAAGCTGGGGCACGTGACTGAAGCCCGCCACTCGGGGGCCGAACCAATCCGGTGTCCTCTGGCCCCCACTCCCGCCCCGCCCAGGAGTCCACTGCTCACGCGCGGCGCTTGCCGGCGCTGCTAGGCCTCCCCCTAGCCAGCAGGTGGCGGCCGCGCGTTCGCACGCACTTCCGGTGCCGCTTCCGCCCATTCATTTGTTAGTAGCTTTTGCCGCTTCCTTGGCGCGAGCCTCCGGCGCGGCCTGGTCTGAGGCCTCCGCACCGGGCTCAATTTTTTTCTCTTTTTTCTCCGGCCGTTTGCTTCCCCCGCGCGCGGGGAGGCCGTCCTGCGGTCTCGGCTGGCGCCGTGAAGTGAGGTGAGGAGGGCCCGGATGGAGCCGGATTTAGGAGCGGGCCCCGGCGGCGGGGGGTGGCGCGCGCCGGGCCTGGGCCTTTCCCGGTTCCTGCCTCACACCCCCAACCCCCGCTGCCCCTCACGGAGCCTCGCGCTCCTTCTCTGCTCCTTTACTCCCCCTCACCTGCCCGGGTCACACTGCGCCGGGACCCCCGCGAGGGGCTTCGGAGCCCCCTTCCCCCCCCATACACGCGCGCGCACACTGCGCATGTACACACGGCCCCGCGCACCGGCTGCTCCCAACGTTCGATCCTATGGCCCGAACGTTGGGAGCGGCCGACGCGAGGCCGTATCTGCAGGGCGTGGGGCACACGCACACATGCATGTCCCCTGCCCCAGCAGAGTTACCGAACTCAGGTGGGGGGAGTTGGGATGCCCGCCCCTGGGGTGCCCATCCCTGCCTTTGTTTCACCTGCCCAAAGGTCCCTGGCAAGGGGCTGCAGGTCCCTGATTGATTCCTACATTATTGGGTGCTGCTTTGAAGCCCCCCGGCATCGTTAATGTGTGCTCATCACGGCCTCGCCGTGTTCCATCATTAGGATGTGTTTTTAACTGTGTGTTGGGCACAAAAGATGTGTGTGTTTACCTGTGGTTCGTTCCGCAGGTTTCTGATGAAGCTGAGCCACGAGACAGTCACCATCGAACTGAAGAATGGCACGCAGGTGCATGGCACCATCACAGGTAGGAGGCTCCAGTTGTTGATAAGGCACGGCTGGAAAACCGCCTCTGTCTTCCCAAGCAACTCCACCGCCTTCCCTAAATAATGAAATTTCAGGGGACACCTCTTGTGAAATGTCTGGTGGCCAAGTTCCTGCGATTGCATCCAAGCACTAGGATAAAGAATGTCAGTTCATATTCTTTATTTGTGTATCGGTGCTGGGTGTTCAGGTAATAAAGATGTCTCATGTAAAGGTTAGCAGTTGGTCCAGAAGACAATGAATGGATGTTTTGGACCTCTAATAATCTAGATCTCGCCCGAATATAGATTGTTAGGGCTGCCCATAGTCGTGGTCATCTGGACCCCCTCTGGTCTCCTTTACAATAAGCTGTTGCTAAATGCCAAAGGAGCAGAGATTTGCAGTTTTTTGGATGCTATTTAGAATAATAAGTATCTTCTTTATGAGAATCCTTACCAATCAGTTCTGTTATGTTCTGTCTCTCCCTCTGACCGTCTGCTATTGTGTGTGCCTGGTGGCCGTTAGTGCTGTCAGCTCTGATTTATGCTGCCCGTCTACATCATTTGCTTTCCAGCATGTTCGTTAACATAACTTACCCCTCTTGCTAGAAATTGATGCTTGCAGTCCGTGTCTCTGTCTGGTTTTACAGGTAGCTGGGCTCTTTTTTATAAGGGAAGGGGCTCTTGCAAGAGCCTGGCTGCCTGTAGAAGCCACTAGGGCCATGGAAGCAGAGCTAAGCTAGCACTGACCTGCCAGCAGTTCTCATAGACTGCCATGAAAATGCTTTGAAGACTCTGGTTTACAGATCATAGATAGTCATGGTAATAAATCAAGAAGGAAGAATATTATTTTCTAATATCGTTTAACTTTCTAATGAGTTGTTTTGGGAGATGCTGAGAGCTAGTGGGTTGATCATAAGAACCAGGTCTCAACACACAAGTGGCTGTGGCAATATCCCTTTTGGGTCATGTTTATACACAAACTTGCACTGGATTAACTAAAGGCACGTTTACAAAATTGATTTAAACTTCTCCACTTAAAGTCTTACCAACATAATGAGGATGCTAAGGGGAGAAAGTCGTCCCCCAACCCTTCCACTTCATAATTATGTCAGTAGAAGTGTTTGTGTGCATGTAGTTATGCCTCCATGATACATTTTTTCATTTATATTTTATTTTACTTTTCCAAATGAATAAACTGTAGCCACATACAAATTTTGATGCAGGTATGGGCATCTGCAGCATGGGTTTTTGCCTCTCTTACTTTGTAAGCATAGCTAAATGACAAGACTTTTTTAAGTAGCAAAACCTTAGTTAAACCAGTACAGATTTGCAGGGTGCTCTAAAGTCTGAGCTGTTTTGCTACACTTGTATCACTATAAAAGTATTTCCAACTTTAGCAGTGCTTCCAGGCTTAAAGGTTAACTTTTGTATTGCCACAAGCATTCACAGCTGTAATAGTTGCATCTTAACAGTAGTAGCATACTCCCCAGGACTAGCTCCCCTTCCACTTTTAGAGGGGCTAAAATTTTTGTTCGTTTATATTCCTCCTGGCCATAATCCTGTTTTTTTCACAATCTTATATTACTGAGAAAGATTTTATGCCCTGCTGAGGGGGTGTACAAATGTGGAATGTAACACGGTTTTCTTAAATGACCACTGTATGGAACACACCATCTCTTTGTGGTTGAAGTTCCTGGAGATGTAGCTGGTGTTTCAGTCTGTTGGGCTGTCCTTTAATGGCTGGGCCACAGAAGAAAGTGACTTTCTGTTGCTGCGAGCTGGGTAATCAGTCTTTTGCATTAAATGTGAAAGACCTGTACTGGAGGTTCAGGATTCTTGCATTTTTAATGATGGGGGAGAGGTGTTGTTTCAAGAACAAATATTAGATTTGCTTTTATGTAAAAATATATAATATAGGAAATGGTATACAATTGTATATATAGGAAATCCCAGAATTAAGAAGGTTGTCCATTAATTTTGTCTCCTTTATCATAGCACTTACATGATTGGGCTATTCTCCCTGCAGAGCTACTGCCTGGATCCAGTGATAGGATGAGCAGTGCTTAAGGAACAAATTAAATTTATGCTGCTAGTGAGATGTGTTGAGTGAGGTAGGGGACTCCAGGAAGAGAGGGGATGATTATGTAGTTAAGGTAGCTGTTTGGATAAATAGGTTTCCATACCTGTTGCCTTCGCAGTAGTGAGTCACAGTACTTGCACATTCTGATATCCTTAAATTTGATCATTCTGCTAGTGAGTCCCAGTGTGGCGTTTGGCAAATCTTATTAACTACATTTATCAAGGGACAACCAAAGATGTGTGAGCTCTTTGGCCTAGGTACCATACAAATACAGAGTGTTCTACTTCAAAAAACCTGCAGTTTAAATGGGCAAGGCAGACGCAGACTGTAGGGGGGGAAGAGGTACTGGGGCAGAAGCCAAGTGAACAATGTGAGGACAGCAAATGATGATGGGGAATGGGTTTGTCCAGCATAGATGATGAGTAAGCATCTTCCTCATTTTTTTTACTTAATTGATAACATATCTATGCTGCTTTAATACAATTAGAATTGCCCAGCATGCTAAAAGTAACTGACTTCTCGGTGCATATAGAATCACAGAAAATGAGGGTTGGAAGCGGCCTCATGAGGTCACATCTACTCCAGCCCCCTGCTCGAAGCAGGACCATTTCCAACTAGATCATCCGAGCCACAGCTTTGGACTAGGATTCTTCTTTCCTAAAAGGTTTTGTTTTTGTTGGTTTGTTTCAGGAGTGGATGTCAGTATGAATACACATCTTAAAGCTGTGAAAATGACACTGAAGAACAGAGAGCCTGTACAGTTGGAGACATTGAGTATTCGAGGAAATAATATTCGATACTTCATTCTGCCAGACAGTTTACCTCTGGACACCTTGCTGGTGGATGTTGAGCCAAAGGTCAAATCCAAAAAAAGAGAAGCAGGTTGGTTGTGGCTACATACCCATTTCTTTTCATTACACTTGATCTGAGCCTTCAAGAGGCCGAGAAGTGATTTTTTTTTTTTCCAGAATATTTGAGTTCTTGAGCTGAATTGGTAATAATTTTAGAAAACGTGGCTAGAATATTTTCACTTCTGCATATGGGAGCCTGATGTTGGCTTTTTCTGCAGGATTCTTTGAAAACACACATTTCAGCTACATAATAGTACTCAAAAGTGTAGGTATTTGTAGATGATTCATATTCTGCTAATAAAACTTTTCTCTTAAATTTCATAAGACCTTTTCCCTTTGAAATTTTGTTTATGTGGTCTCCTATTACAGAAGTTTGAAGAAATATTAAACTAGAAAATTCCAAGAGAGGATTTAAAATTAGCTGGTTATTTACTTTTGAAAAGTTTTTCTAGTGCAAAGTAGCCTTTTAAGTGATGTTAATAAGATAGCAGAAGAGTCCTTTCATAGAGGATAAAAGCAAATCGTTGGATGCTGTACAGTAGGGGTGTCAAACTCTACTGGCCCCATAGGTCCCCATTCTCCTCAGCAAAGCTGATTTGGCGACTGTTCCAGTCTCTCTGGGAGCTGCACTGTAGGCATGCGGTGCCAGCTTTAGTCAGTCCAGTGGAACAGAGACAGTATGTGGTGCGTGACCCAGAGTAGGCAGCGTAGTCCAGCTGTAATGGCCACTCTGTGCAGCTAACTTCCATTCTGGCTGGACTGTGGCATCTCTTCAGGCTGCTCCAGGATCTGCATTGCATGTAGCACAGGTCCCAGACTGGCTGGTGCATCTGGTATGCTGGGAGAGTAGGAGAGGGTCCATGGGCCAGATTTGGCTTGTGGAGCAGCCTCACGCCAGGGGCATGCACCATGCCCCATGTGGGTTTGATCAGCCATGGGGCAGTACTAGATAGCAGGGCATATGTTTGGCACCCCTGCTTCCCTGTCCCTAAGATTCTGACTTTTGTAAGAAGCTAAGTTGTATTTAGACAAGAGGGCTTCAAGCTTCAACTCCTATCTACCAACCTCTTGTTTTTGCAGAATGTGGTTTTTGCTTTTTTTCATTTTAGTATTCTTAAGCAAAGAATTGTAAGACAGCACTAAAGTTGTAAATAGTTAAAATTAATTAAACACTCAATTAAAAGCCAATTAAGTAAATTAATTTCAAATAAATATTTATAAATAAATTAAAGCTAATTAAACCCCACATTCATAAAAGCTTGTTACGACCAGCAAAACTTGGGAACAGGCAGAGATACGCATAGCCTAATAATTAGTTTGAGACTTTAAGTTGTAATATCCTGTACTGTTTCTATTTCCATTTCTCTACAGCTGTAGTAATCTCTCTCCTTCCTAGTAAATAACACCTTAGACTGGTTCAGTGAATGTGACATGTTGGGTAAAGTCCACTGGGTAAAGTTCATAACTCAGTTGTTTGGATATGGGGTCTGCCATTAATATGAGTAAGGTGGTTGTAGGGTTGTTCCAATCTGTCTAGGAAACATAGGTCAGGCTTCTTGCAACATCTTGCCACTCCCTTATCTGCTCTAAGTTAGGGGTGCTCAAACTCCAGCCTGTGGGCCAAATGCCACCTGAAGAGCCATTGCATCTGGCCCGCGGGGCTCCCCACAGGTCAGGAAATTTGGTGGCAGGGGATCAGTGACCATTAGTGTGGCCACCCCCGCGCCAAATTCCCAAACCCAGTCAAAGCCAGTCCACACCCCCTTCCCAGTCCAGCACCTGGGGCTAGATGAAGCCCTTTTTCCCCCTCTGTGGGTCTGGCCTCAGCCTGGGCTGCACCCTTCCCCCCTCTACTGGTAGCCAGATGGTGGCAGCCACGCTGACCCCAGGCACTGGATCAGACCCGCCATCCAGCCTGCAGTCAGACTAGGTGCTGCCCATCCAGCCCACTGGGGAAAAGGTTTGAGCACCACTGCTCTAAGCAATCTAGTGATCCTAGTGGGAATTAGAAATAGTCTGAGAGACTTCTTAAACCTGTGTGTGAAATCTGCAATGCAAGAAGTTGGTTACATTTTCTTCCTGTGTATGAAGATGAACTATCTGTTCTGAAAATGATTGAGATTAGTGTAAGGAGGGTGTGATTGATAAATCAAGTCCAGGTACAAATCGTACCATTTCATGAAAATGTAAATCGTTGTAGAAGTTGAGTAGAAGTAATTTCACAGTAATTCTATTGTTTCCAGCTCTGTTTGCCAATTCTCAATGCTTTTCTTGTCCCACACAATGGGAAACTAATTACACAGAGGAATTGGTGAAGCAAATACAGTTTAGAGGGGTCTCAAAGCACGAAAGTAGATGTTCTTAGAATCAGTCTGTTTTCCTCTTTTTTTATACAAACAGGTAGAGAAATTTCAGAGAAGCATGTTTTGAGCTTTCAGTATATTCAAGGTGTTTACCCTTGTAATCCATTTCAAGTTGTTGGGACCTTAATGTATAGAGTTCCTCACTACTTGTTAGAGCAAAACATTCAAATCTTTTGGGCACATCTGGTCACTACTTTAACAATATTTTCATGAATTCATATCAGCTGCCTCTGCATGGGCATTGAGTTAATTCACCAAAAAGTAGAAGACATGGGTCACATATATCTAAGTCATGCTGCATGTTTGTGCCAGGTTCAGTTGCCTGCTGTGCAGTCCTTCATTTCCCTGTTTGCTTTGTCAAAGACTTTTGGTTGAAGAGAGAATGGAAAAGCACTATTGCATGCCAAAATATTTTAGGGTGTGGTGTATGCAGGTTTTTTCAGTTCTCCATATGAGTTCCATAAAAACAAGGAATGTTATGGTCAATAGCCAACTAAGTTAATTAGAAATCCCAGCATGAATGATCCTAAAATGTAACTAGAACAGTTTATCTCAGTTTGCTAATCCTCCATTAATAATGTTCCTTGCTGATGTTTTTACAAAGCTAAACCATTTTTTCAAATCTTCATAGTATTTAGTCTCTCAATCCATAATTAAGCATGTTATGTGCCATAATTAGAACATCCCTGTAAAAGGCTCAGGTCAGAGGATTAAATACCTAGTCCCCTTTCAGCAAAACTGGACCCTATCTGTAGCTAGAATGCCGTGGCACAATATAACAGAAGTATTGTGTTGCATATGTGCAAAAAGGTTCTAAATCCTATTACATGAAGAGGCAAGATTTTGTGGGACAGTTCCTTTTGAAAAACTGCATGGACTCCAGCATAGCTTCATCAGTAGCTTGCTTACTCTTGGAGTGATCTTGGGAGAAGATGACACTTCTTCATAGTAAATAAATGTTATGATCGTGTATTAGGATTTTTCTTACCTTTTGGGTGCTGAGAGCTTCAGAAAACGTGGCCACTTTATACAGGTGCCTAAATGGGAGATGACCATTTCTAAGAACTTGGCTCGGCGTTTAAATTGCATTATGTAGCTTTGCCTACTTACTTACTAGTTTGTAATAAGAGATATTTTTGCCCTAGGTAATATGTTTAATTGTAATGAGCAGCATCAGAAGTCTTTAATGATCCCATATCTTGCACATGTAAATTCCAGTTTCTATGTAATTACATTTTATTCAAAGGGAGAAAGACAGACATGTTGTATAAAGCATTCATGGCATTTAGAAACGGTTGTTGAAGGGATGTAATTCCATAATTATCTGAAGTAAAACTGGAGTTGAGAGTGAATTTACACTTTGGACAAAAGTTAAGTTTGAGGTTTGGTAGCATTATATCGAGCTGCAATTTTTGTATGATAGAGCACAATGCTGTTTGCATTTGACCGTTTATTTCAGGATAAGTTTTATACCTAAATAGACTTTAACTTGTTCTTTGTTTGGTTTGGTCAGTTGCAGGAAGAGGCCGTGGCAGAGGTCGGGGTAGAGGCCGAGGCCGTGGCAGAGGAAGAGGTGGTCCCAGGCGATAAATTCCAGAATCGTTTGGAATGTGGTAACAGGGCCTGTTCTAAAGAAAGTTTTTTTGTACAGCTTTTGTTTACAATGTCAATTTTTAATAAACACAACTGTGGAAAAAGATGTTTCTTTTTTTGTCAGCTAGGCTCCTCTGGGGTTTTGTATTGCTAGGAGTCTGATGGTTTAGTTCCTGATGCCCAAGCATGCCATTTTGATGTTAGGTCAAGAAATGGACTTTTTTTGCTAGCATATGCTGTAATTTCACCCTTTGCTGGGTAAGTTGCTTGTTGATATGTTGTAATGATGCTCAATCAAAATGAGCCCCTAGTTTTCTTTATGAAACTTCATCATAGTTATGGAGCTTCACTAAAATATGGTAAGAGTTAATACTCCTAAGTATTTGTTCAACAATGAACGTCAAAGCTGACTCTGAAAAGTGTAGATAGAATTATATTTCTGCTAATTGAACTTAAATTTTACTTCTTTCATCTTCCTTCAGAGAGAGAAATGAATCGGGTCTGTAGAACCCAAGGATTGTGGCATCTTGTGATTAAAATTAAATGTTATCCTTGCATATGAATGTGATTGAAGCTTTTGTGTTGGGTGTCCTGGGAAGCTACCACAAGTACATTTTTACAGCTTGAAGGCATGCAGCTACAAGTGACCCTCTAGAAGACAAGAAATGCATGCAGTACACAGTTACTAAAATTAGGTATTTATTTTTGGAAATGTGAGAATTGACACAGCTAATCCTTAAACCTAAGCCAGGACTTGGCAACTTGTGGCCTGCTGGTCAGATGCAGCTGGCAATGGTTTGATCTGGTTTAGGGAATCTGGCACAGATGCTGCCCATCCCCTCTTGCTGCAGAGCTTGTTGCTCTGCTGTATGTGTGATTACTTTTGCTGCAGAAGGGCTGAGGATTGGCAGCAAGATTAAATGCAGGCAGCGGGCCACTCTTAGGGGTGGGGGGGTGAGACTTGAGGCCTGCAGCAAAGGGCCAGGTTGCAATGGGTGGTCTGCATCAGCAAAAGTTTGCCAACCCTTTACTAAGCTGTTTTGCTTTTATATTGACTCTTGAAAGATGGCATTATTTATCTGGGAAAAACTTGCTAGCAACCTTTTCCTCAATAGAAATCTAGCTGATAAAATGTGAATGGTCAAGCTACATATTACCTCAAAATAGTATGCATGGGAGAGAGTGGCTTTCAAACTATTCAGATGTTTTCCAGTTTCTTAAGAACTTGTTTTCATAAGGTGAATGTAGCACTACAGAGTGAGACAATTGCCTAACATTAGTTGCAGTTAACAAGTATGTTGGCAAACGTACACTAATGAGCACGTCATGAGCTGCCCTTTGTGTACATGTCAGAGACGCTCTTAAAGTTGCTGCTTCTAGAGACAAACTTTTTTTTAAACCACTGTGGGTGCTGCTAGCAGCGCGTTTTGGTAAATAAAACAGACAAGGTTCAGCTGATCTATAAATAATTGCTAAGAATAATGGTTACTGGGGTCTCCAGGAAGTGCACAGTTTTTGTATCTGGTAGTAAACCTTTTACCAAACCAGTTTTAAATGTTCATGCAACAGTTGATCTGTGTTCCCTCTTCAGTCTCCTTTTGATAAAAATTGCAAGTGCACCTAGTGGTATGCACATTGTGGATGAAGCCACCAGCAGTCCAATAACTGCCAGAGCGTAGCTGGGATAATCTTTTGTAACCAGATGACCCTGCAAGGAAGAGACACAATTTTAGCATGAAGCAATTATGTAGCCCTTCCTCTTTCTAGCCTGTAAAAAATGAGTCTTACGTTACTACCTGAAGTGTTGGATCTTTAATTTTGATGAATGGCAGTTGCTTTAAACTCACGCGTGGTTTTGCTAAGGAAAATTAAGTTGTAGAAAGCTTGTGATACACTGTTGGCATTCTGTGAGGTACTGAAGTTTGTCTGCAAGCTGTTTTCTTTATTTACTTTGCCCATTGTTACCAGTTAGAAGATGGCAACAAGAAACAAAATTCTGTGTGGTTATGAGCAAATACTTGGTATGGCTCTTGTGGCATAATTTTTAATTATTGGGAAACCTTAATGATTATGAAAGCCTTTGACTTGAACAAGAGGAAGATTCTTTTCACTTTGAAATTATTTCAGCAAGATTACTCCTTTGATATGTCACAGCTGACACTTCTGCTTCCTCCCTCCAAGATGCTTTCGTTTTTTTCTTGTTGTAGAAAAGTACTGAGGTTCATTCCAGTGCAACAACAAAAACCAGCCCCTTTCAATGACCAGTGACTTTAAAACACACTATAAAAGTAATTCAAACAATGTAACCTTTCCTGACAGGTTATGCAATTCATATTTAAACATCATAGTTCTCTTCCCCAAACTGAATGTGTAATTAAGCATTTTTGTAAAGTATTTTAGCTGCTAGGGAGAGTGAATCTGATTATGAGCTGTAGTACAGTGTGCATAATTCCCTACTTGGGAGCTTTACCAGAAGTTCTAAAAATGGTTGTAAAGATTTGGTTTCCTAGTCACAGTAGGAATTCACTTCCAAGCTGTCATAGCGCACTGTTATAGTCTTGATTTTCTAGATTGTTTCTGTTCAAAACACCACCTTGATTCTTATGTGTGTTAGAGTGCTGATTCATTTATAGGGGCAACAAATTCATCTGCCTTGCTCTGCCTTACGTTCTAATTAAAAACCTGCATTCATTCTGGATTGAAATCTGCTGTGCAGATTTTCAGCAAGGCAGTTTGATCTCCAGCCCTCAGAAGAACAGAGAAGACCCCGTGTTGGATCAGGAAGGGACACAGGTGAGTAAAAAAGAGAAATAAATACCTGTGTGGCATCCCAGGCTTGGTACTGCAGCGTTCCTGTGAGGATGTAGTCAGTGATGTAAAATATAAACAGGCTTATAATTAGCAATGGGCTGGCAAAAGCCCACATGATTTTCCAGTACCAACTTAGTTTGTGTCCAATCATCAGATGAAGGTCTTTTTCAAATCTGTTGAAAGAGATTTTGAGCACTCCTGTTAGATTTTTTCCATATATATTTATTTTCTGCACAGGATCAGAAGATGGCAATAACTGAGGAGAGTTAAGGGCCCCTGTTAGGAAAGGGTATATTTTGAAAGAATGGGAATTTAAACAGTCAAACCCTGTTTACAAGTCCAGCCTAAGTAGATAAAAATACTGTTTTATAAACAGTTGCAAAGAATAAAACCCTGCAAGATGGTCTGAGTAAAGAAAAATATATACGGCCAGGCAAGAAATGAGCTGGAACCATGCCTAACTGCAAAGAAATTGGCTCACCAGGATCATATAGTAAGATCAAGAGGTACTTAGTTTGCGCTTGGCAGAAGCTATTCACATCAAGGAACAATACAATAGCATCACAGGTGAAAACTCTGCTGACAACTCTTCTTTAAACAAGTGTGGAAAGTTTCGTGAATAGGTCAAAAAGTCAGTGTTCAATTACAGCTCTAAGAGACATGCTTTTGTACCTGATAGAGGCAGAAAACTATTTTTAAGCATATGAAAAAATATGCTTCCAGTATGGTACAATAGTCCAGGGTTGCTTTTGAGAAGCTGTGGACATACTAAGACATACCACACTTTGTAAAGTGATGAAACATATGAACTGCATGGAGTAAATATTGCATTTCTACTTATTTTCCATGGGTTAATTTGCTTTAAAAATGTGCTTCATTGAGAATGTAAGGAACAGCATATTGACCGCAGATGCATGTATTTGTGCTTGAAACATGCCTTGTTGACACATGTGCTTATTAGAACGAATATGTTTGGTCTATGCAATACAGCACAGCACTTTTCTTTGCAGTTAGGAACTTTTTTTAATTATGATCCTTCTTGCTTGTGCATGTGCTCACTCGGGCATTGTTTTGATCGTTCTGTATTGAATTGAACAGGACTGTATGGGAAATGGTTTTCAGGGTTAGGGAGCCCAATTGCCTCACCTCTGAAAGAAAGTTGTTACTAATCGATTGCACCTGTGTTGAACCATTTGGTGTAGTAGAGGGATTTAGACACAGAAGGCAGAGCAAATAGGGAGTGAGTTAGCTGGGCTGTTCATTTAAACAGCATGTGCTGTTCACTTAAACAGGCTTCTAAAAATCTTACTACTGAAGACAGCAGCTTAAGATTGTCCCTTATATGGAGGAAAACCCTGAATAGGGAACAGGAACTTTTAGGAGGCCTCCCTTAAAAGGGTTTCCATGAGTGTCTGTCAGGGTCTTGCTCATGGACTCATCAATTTCAGGTCTCAAAATCCAGTACATCTGAGAGTTGTCAAGGCCGCATGGGAGCTACTGGAGCTCAGTTACACTTCTGTGAAGGAGACTTAACAAAATGGTGTCTTTCCCTCTAGTCTTGTCTCCTTTCCTAGCTACAAATGCTGCCTCACCCCTATGGCTTATGGGGACAAGGGGAGACTTGCTGAGGAGGTGCCATAGCAGCCAGTTATACCAATGTCATCCTTCCTTGCCTTAACAGGCTGAAAAGGCAGCTTAGCCTTGAAATCTGAAAGAATTCCTCCCCCACTCCCCCCCCCCCCCCCCCCGGCAGGTACCCTGGTATAGAAGTATGTCCCCACTGTCCCTGCCTGCACAGTAACTGTTAGAAGAAACAGGAGCCTTAGCTCTTACCTTCTTAGCCCATAAACATAGCAAACAGCAATAATTTCCACCAGCACAATAAGCAGCAGAGAGAGGGTAGCTGCATAGTCATTGAATATGTCAAACCAGTAGTTCCCAGCTTCCATGGTGAATGTCAAGCCAACAATACAGTTGATAAAACACACAATACCTATAGGAACAAAACAGACTATTTTAATCACAACTGAAAGACTAATGTTAGGGCTGGTATCAGAAGATTTATACTGAATAACAGATTCTGGGAGCCAGCCTGGTTTTAATGGTAAGTGATGATTCTGTTAAGGGATCCAGTTGTATCAATGCCAGATACCTTTGACTGAAAATAAAGTAGATTAGGGACGTTCACTCTGGAGAGGTTTGCACTAAATTGTAGCTGTATGTAACTTTTATTGTGAAACATTGAAAACCATCTCACCAACTAGGTATGTCCATGTTTGAAGAAGTATTGCTTTGCTTCGCACGCCCACATGCGCGCACGTGTGTGTGTGTGTACACATGCACATGAAGCAATTTTTCAAATGGATGCATGTATATAAAATGCACTAAAAGTGGATGTCGTGAGTAATGGTCAATATTCAGGGCACTCTTACTATAGCGATAACTGGAGAGGTTGGAGGTAGTTTGGATTAGCTAAGTTTCTCATTGCTTGTTTCCAATTTTAATTTCAAACACTGTATCTTAATGTTTCAACAAATGTGATGTGACTTTGGACTTCCATAGCTAAAAGCTCAGGGCACTTGACAAACATCACTGGATACAGACTTTGTAGGATCCCTGTGAGGAAGGTATGGGAGTATAGGGGGTTTTTAAATCATTATTTAATGGCTATCTATATTTCCTGTTACAACTATGAAGTTGTGGTATGTCTGCTACTGGATAGGGACAATATTAAGCTTTATATTAAATTATTTCCTTTCAAAAGATACTCTCATCCTTCTGCTCACAGTGGTCAATGCTGGGTTGTGAGCAAAGCGTACTGACTGTGGGTCATTTTTGTAAATGCTTATAAAAGCATCGGTACATTATTTAATCAAGCATGTACCTGCCCCCCTGGTCTTTGTTCTCTGAAATGATGAGAACAAAAAGTCTTTGAATTGCTATGGTAGGTTCTGCTCTGCCTTTGAAATAGCTTAGGAATTCCAAATATTAATGGATTATTTATGGGGAAAAAAATGATCAAAATATGTGCTGAGGTTCAAAAAGCTTAGCTCACTTTTTTGATGGAAGCCTCTCTCGATTTTTTTTCCAAGCAGCAGCATAACTTCAATACTAGAAAATTTCTAAGCCAATAATAAGACCAGAGAAATTCAAATAAATAGAGACTTCTGCATGCTTGAGCTAATAGCTCTCACTAGGATGTCGTGAGACGCCCTTCTTTAGGGTGCTGCATGATATTAGCACTTAGGCATGCAAAAGCCTATACATGATTTACAAAACAATCCATAGTATCAAAAATATTCTGACGTGTTGTGGTCTTTCTGGGGTTCTTAGCAACAGGCAAATTCTTACTGTATTTTTCTGTAGCCAAAAAAAAAAAAAAAAGTGAAAGCTAAGAGTTGGCATTGTCTGAGGGGTACCTTGAATCTAGCCAGGTTGTGAAGCTCTGGCTTAGGCAAATCAGTTTGAAGTTCATTCTACTAATCGTATTGATCAGTCTGCCTCCATATGTCATGAATCTCTGCATGAAACACGATGATCTCTGCAGGGCTTAAAGATCTACTGTTGACAAGTACTGTTTAAGAGCACTGCTGTTTTCAAAAGCAGTACAAGACTTAAGAGAACATATTTTATGACTTCTAACAATTTTTGAGGCACTTCAAGCACCATTCTGGAAAGTGAGCAAGAAAGTAAGCTTTGCACTGCACCAGCATGTGAAACATGCACTTTGGAAGCTCTACCTCATGTAATGGACAGAGATGTGGGGATGGATTCTTTCAGTGCCTGAGCCTGCAAGGGGCTGAGTACCTTCCATTCCTCTCAGTGTCCATGGAAGTCGTGTTCACTCAGAACTTTGTGTGGTGGGCTTCTGCATCTCTGTGATTATGCATTCAACTCTTACCCAGCCTAAGCTTCTACCTTGTGTGGGTAGAAATGCTTTTCATTCCATCCAGGAAGAGCACACACCAACTGCAAATGCTTCCTCCGCCTGACTGTTTTTAAACCCAAAAGTTTGCTAAGAAATTTTTTTCCAATTATTTAAGTTGGTCTAATAAAAGATATCAGATTCACCCAAAGAAACTTATCTGACCCTCTACAGGCATATTTTGGAATGTGGAGGCATCTTACCTGAAATGACTTCTTTGGGTAAGTGGGTGGAAAGGAACTTGCTATCAGTCAAAGGAGTGAGGATAGCTGCAGTGTTTCCCAGCATGCTGCCAATGCCCAGCATCAGAAGCATAAAAAAATACAGCACTGAATACAGCTGAGACACCTCCATGTTCTTGATTGCTTCCGAATAAACTATAAATGCCAGTCCGGTTCCCTGGACAGCCTGCCAATGGTAAGAAAGACACAACTTTCTTGGCAAAAGAATGATCAATTATTCAGCCAATAAGTCCTGTTTATGTTCACTGATTAATAGAAGTTAAAATATATGAGTAGACAAAAGAATATGAACCAGATAGGAAAGTAATAGCCTTATTGCCTAGCTCTGATACTAACACTTTTAAACAAACAATAAATGAAAACCTGGCTGAGTTAAGGCCAGATTTTGCTACTCTTACTTGTGAGCAATACATTTCTCTTCATGAAGTCCCAAGAGAAGCACTCAGTTAAGTCCTACTCAGGCTTGCTAAGGACCATCAGAATCTAGTCTTTAATAATGACTGATGTTTCTCATATTGAGCTAACTTTGATCTTTGTTGGCCTCTTAATTGTGCAGAATTAGCATAGTCCACCATACCACCAAGAAAAATAATGGAACCAAATTCTGTGATCCTTACTCATGCAAGTAATCTAAAGTAACACATGTAAATCAGAGCTCAACTTGGATTTAGAAACTCAGTAATTCCACTGAAGTCCTGCATTACTTCAAGTGTAGAAGAGGTAGCCTAGTAGCTTCAAGGGGCCTTCGAACCTATGTAAGAACTATTTGCGTGATTAATCATTGCAAGATTGATGCTAACAAAACAACTGGTGCTAACGAACATTGACACTAACAACAATACTTGGCAAGTTTCATGTTGAAATTTTTGGACAGACATTAACACTCTCGACCACAGCCATGAGGTAGTTATTCCCAATTTTACAGATGAATTTAGGCAGAACAGTCAAGACATTACATACAGTGTAGTCAGACATGGGTTCAGAACTATATGTCAAGCAGGCAACATGGCAATGCTCTGAATAACCAATAACTAATAGTCAACTAATAGTAATATTAAAAATAATATTTTGATACTAATAAAAGTAATAACCAAACTAACCAATAACTGTCCTAGTTAGGCATCAACCAAATGCCCTAGCAGTGTCTCAAAATTCATTGCCATGCCTAATACTGTTCACTACTTATCATAACACTAACAGTGCTAGTTAGTTTAGTGAAAAGCCAGGGGCAGACTGGAGTGTTTTTGCTCCACAAGATCCTCTTGTTTAGCTAACAGTTTGCTCCCTTGGCCAGTGGAAAGCTGATGTTTCACAGTATAGGGTGATAGTATGGCTAGGTCCTCCAGCATCCCCGGGTAGACTGCTCTCTGGCAAAGCAAGTTCTTAGGACACTGTTTTTCACATAACTTGCCTTGTGGATGTGAAGCAGGTCACATGGTGTGACAATCCATCTAGCAACATTACTATCTGCCAGAGGTATGAATTAATTAGCTCCCTGGGAGCTAATTGGTGGTAAGGATGGTAAGGGAAGAAGCCCTGTTATAGTATTTCCTCCATCCTGCCCACTCTTTTAGAAAAGTTCAGTGTCTTGGGACCAACTTGGAGATGATCATATATTGGTTTTAGATGTCTTCACCTTTATGGCTGGTTCCCACAATTCATTCATTGTTTAGACCATCTATTAAATTAAAAGAGTATGCCCACATTTAAAATTTACAGGGAGCCTACCATAGCAGATTGGTGTGCCATTTTTTCAATCCATCAGAGAGATGTTGGTAGACCTTAAAATATGTTAGTACAACCTACACAGGACACAGGCTTCATGTGTGTAGGTGAGGTGTCATAGGCAAGGCTGGAAATGAGAAAAGGATATTTTTTTGCCTAAACTGTTCCAGCCAGGAGTGTGGGAAAGTCTGTACTTTTCATTAATTTGTTTTCCCAAACTAGTCACAGAGTGTGCGTTTCCTGGGTGCGTCACAGCCTTTGGTAAGGCATAGTGTGTAAACTGCCCTTTCCTTGGAGTTCTTGTAGGATCTGAGCCAAAATTCCCTATCTGTTCCCTTCTTACCCCAGAATATTGGTTGCTGTCTTATACTGTATCAAGTTACGATGTTATGACAGTCAACCCTAACCTTTTCTGCTAACAGCTATATGTGTATGCATCCCAAAATATAGAAACATTTTCCTCTAAAGCCTGCAGTCTGTTGCTTGTTCTAATGCCGTTTCACATTATCTAAACGCACCATGTATCATCACACTGAAGTCATTACATAAGAGTAATTTCTCATTCTTTCTCCCTCTTTAGACTTTACCATAGTTCTGACTAGGGAAAAGGAAACAGAACAAAGAAAATCCATGTTGTTACATAAAGCAACAAGTTACCGTGTCTAGTTCAGCTTCCAAACTGCAGTTTTTAATCTGCGGTAGTAATTCTACATATTCATTTGGGTGGGTAGCCATGAGCTGCTCTTTCATATGGTTGAGATTGTCTGCAGTTAAAAATCCTTCTTCCAGATCGAAAGCATTCGTTAACAGTAGCATCGCCCTGTAAAGCCAAGATAATACAGTTTCTTTATATGTGTGCTAAAAGAGATGTCCCAGAAGAATTCAGTAGTGGAATTGCAAGCATAGTGGCTACAGTTTCATTTAAATTAGGAAGAGTACTCGATTATAGCACACAAAGACAGAAAGGAAGGCGCTTACAGAGGTATTATTGTGTTTACTCTAAACAGGCCAAATGTACTTTAAAAGTACATTTGTGAATTGGAAGGAGAGAAAACTAATTCTTGGATGTCTTTGAATTGTATGCAGTTTGAATCAACCAGAAGTTTTTGGGCTGATACCAGAATTGCTGGGAGGAATTAAATGGCTTACTGCATGCAGCAGTTCAGACTAGATGATGGTAATGGACCCCTCTAGCCTTAAACAGTTCTGTACACGTATGGTGTGTCTACATGAGACTAATTCTACTACGCATTAGCAAGGCAGGCAAAACCCATGCTAATGCACTAATACACAGTAGAATTAGTGCCAATTATGATTTATTAAGTTAGTACCTGTAATTACAGGTACTAAACTTAATACTCTGTAATTATGGCACATTAATTAACGTGTAGACGTGCCCATATGCAACAAATTCATTATTCCTATTTTATGCTTAGCTCTGTTCTTTCCATGTTCAACAGTAATTGCTGTGTCTTGGGCTGGACTGGATCCTCAGCAGGGTTTTCTTCATGGCACTGTGGTATCTATTGCTTCAGAGAATCTCTCTCTCTGTCCCTTTTTTATTCATATCTTTTAAGATTAATCTCCTATAGCAACTATTAATGTGCCTTTCTGATAAAGGAGATGCATGGGAAGTTGGTATGTCTTCTGCTGTGATCCATGAGACAGAATAATAAAGCACAGACCCAAACTAAAATATAATAGTGCCCGGTCACTGGAAACTTGAATGCACTCAACAATTCTTGTTTAGGATCTGGTCCTGCAATATCCAAAGCATCTTTTGTCGGGCGTGGAGCACCCCCAAATATTAAATAGTGGTCAATAGGAGGTAAATCAGCCTATATCCCAGCAGATAGTACTCTGCACTTGAGGAGCATCATAAAGCTGGGGAAACGCATTCTCAAAAAATTGGAGAAAATCAGTCTTCTTGGTTTAAATGCACACCATTCTCTGTTGGTTAGACTACAGGATATGGCAACAAAGTCACTGTATTATAACCATGGAAATGACACTTGCATCAAATCAGCATACAAGGTTCAAATCTTGGGCTCTGGAATTCAGTTCTGAGATCAAGTTTACAGCATTTCTCATGCCCCCCAAGTTGCATCCATCAGCTGCATCTCCTCCAGGAGGTTTGTAACACCAGAACAAAATTCATCTGCTTACCCCAAGAAGTAGGTGAATTTTATTTCACTGTATACCACAGCAAGGAAAAAAAGAACAGAATTTCTGCTTCTGTAGTCTTTTCAGCAAGGGCTAGTTTTTCCCCTGTGGGAATGCAGCCCGCCAGGAATGCAGCCTGCCAGGCCCTCCTAAACAGCCCCCCCCCCCCCCCCCCCCCCATATTAAGAAAATATTTATCTGCCCCTGGCTGCCTGTCACACAGCCCTCAATGGCTTGCCAAAACTCAGTAAGCAGCCCTCCACCTGAAATAATTGCCTGCCCCAGGGCTAGATATAGCTGTACTTCCTATCATCAGACTGAAGGTGGCATGCAGTGGCAAGATATTTGATGGTAGGAAAGAATCCAGACCCAATTACTGTAGTTGGAGAAAGCAGGCATTTTTGAAGACAAAGGACTCTAAATCCCCAGAGGACAGAGGGCAAGATGGTAATTTTTTTCAACCAGGTGGTACACCATGTATATCTGGTAAGCCTGTGTCTAGGACTATGAAGCTGAAAAACCTTGCATTTGTGGTTTGTGTATTAAATGAGCTGTGAAGATAGTTCATAGCTGCTGAACTAAGTGCCAGATCTGAGCCTGGCATTGGATAATTACTGGCACAAATACTCAGATTTGTGCTCACAACTGAAAGGTGGCAACATGTTGGCAGAGTTGTAACATAACATTTAAGGTTGTAAACTGCACCTACAAAATAGAGGCCTGCAAAACTGGACACTCTCTGTTTGCATTTTCTAAACTTCCTGCTTTGCATCTCAAGCCTTCTATTTTGGAAGATTGTTGCCTTATTCTTTCCTATGTCCTTGTACCACAATAGCACTGGACACTTTTGATTCTGTGTAATGTCCAGCTGGGGAATCCCTGGCACCCATACCAGGCAATATGAAATTTCAAGTGGGGATGGAAGTTCTGTGTCCTTGTGTCTAAACAAAGGGTTTCCTCTCATGTGTCTTCTGTAACCAGAGCCATGAGACATGTGATTCTATTACATGAAAATGTACATCTAGAAATTATTTTTATTTCTCAAAAATAGGCCTTTTATTAAAAACACCTACTCTCTATTTTGATTCAGGGGGTTGTGATGGAAGAGGGGAATGTGCCTTTCTGAACTATCAGACTTTTGTCCAGTTGTGAACAGATTTTAACAGGAGTGGCAATGATAAAGCTCTGCCTTAGTTTTCTAGAGTGCTGCTTAGCCATTCTGTTCGTGGTACTACACCTATCATTAAACAAAAGCAGTGTTGTGATGCCAAAT